TTTAATATCATCTGTGTAGCCAGCATGGAGGAAGAAAAGGAAAGCTACCTTATTGTGTGGAGGAAAAATCTGCTTTAAGTCATCCAGCAGCTGTTTCCAGTGTATGAAGACGACCTTGCCTGGAGTTAGAAAGCACATTCTCCACATACTATGAAAGTGGATAAAAAGTATTTCCACAAAATTCTTGGCTTATGAAGAAGATTGAGACATCATTTTCAGACAGGCTTCTGATTGTTTTTGTGAAACTCTACTTGCAGTTTTATTTTGTAGGACTAAACCACAAAATCACTTTTGATACATTTATAATCTTTGTATTAATTAGATATCATTAATTTGCCTAGAATGCATCTAGGTTAACATTCTTAATTCAGTGTAACCCTTTGAGACTCTTTGTTTAAGAAACATTTCTGTAAAGCAGTTCAGATTATTTCAACAGATGATTAAGGGAAGCATAATGTTTTTAGAAACAATGTTATGATTGTTTCCCTTAGGATCCCAGTTCACTCCGGAGAGAAGTGCTTGATTGGAGGTAACCTTTGCAGCAGACAAATGCCATTTGTTGTCCCTATGAAGCACTGGTCTAAATCCGAGTTAAAAACCTCCAGAAAAAAACATTATAAATTCACATGTACTCAGTGGCAAGCACTTGATAACATATGGCAGCTAAATATGCCAAGGATTCTTTAGAGCATACGCCATCACTTAGCAGCTCCTAGTTGCCAAACTGCTTGTGCCTGTGATGTCCCTCAGGGACCAAGCTCCTACCCATGCCCTCTGCAGGGCCTAAGCTGGTCTTTTCCTGCAGTTTCTCCTTTCTGCAGACAAGGGACACCCCAACTGTCTTTTGTGATAAGACTGCATCTTCCCTTGTTCGGTCTGTGCCATCACGTACATTACAAGGCATCCACCTTCAGGTTTTATGGGCTGTCTTAACTCAGACATTTCTAAATGCTCCGTAACTAGAGTTTTGCAGATTCATTCTTCTAATTTTAATGTCATCTTACTGTTATGTGATTTTTCTAAATGTAATCTTAGGTTAAAAAATTATGTCTTGACATACATATGTGTGCTTTTGTCAAACCTCTGACTTTTGTGAAGAAAGAAAAGGCCCAAACACCAGTCCTGTAGATGCTGAAATCGTGCATGAGGCAAGGCTTGTACAAAAAGATAGTATTTTTATTCAACTAACTGATACATTTGGAAAAAGAATCCCAAAGTTTACAGTCCTTTATGAGCCCTTCTTCAGATCTGAAATAAAAGCAGCAATCCTGAAAGATCTTCTAACTTCCATCAACTCAAGCTTATGTTTTATCCAAATTTGTCCAATATATTTTACTACTTTGCCATGATACCCTATAACCAATGTCCTTATTAAATGACAACAACACAAAAGAGTCCAACATGGACTTTGGGTTTAGCAGGTTTTGATCTGAAGTGTTTACCTTTGGTTACAGGTGCTTTCATTCATTCTTTCTCACAGAGAAATGGCTTAGGGGAATATTATGCCATTAGTCTTGCACAGGACCATTGCAAGGTGTGGAGAGTTTGCATGAAAACTGCTGGCAGGAAACAGCCACCAGTGATTGACTTTCTTAACATCCCCCTGCGAAGCTGTGCAACTCATGGGCCAGCAGCGCTGCTTCCACAGCGGAGATCCTGGAATGTTTTGTTTGTTTTTTTTTTAACGTAGCTTCACCTTTTTTTTTTTTTTTTTTGTAGCTTACATCTTCCCGCTAGGCTTACACTCATACAGTCCTGTGACTCTTCGTCCGTTCTGTTGCCATCAGGTCTCCTAGAATCAATAAAAACCCAACAGGTCATAGTTTTGTGCAAAAGCAAAGGCATCAGCTCTGGTGGACGCGTGTCAGAATTTGCACAGAACAGATTTAATAGGATCATCTTTCATAGTTATCACTTTAAAATACCTAGCTGCTGAAAGCAGACATATATCAGAAATTAATGGATACATAATATTATTCTTGATTAAATCATTGTTGTTAATATCACATAAATGAGCTATTAAGCCAATAAAATTTCCTTTCATTAGTTTGAAAAGACTGAGGATATAGGTATTACTCAAAAATGCAGAGCGAAAAATATTGCACCTTACTGTGGTGTTACCTTGTAACTACAGTTGTGAATTCTATCATCCTCTGAGTGACTTACAATTTACAAAATAGGGAAGGATGAAAGATATGGTTCTTACTTAAAGGGATTCTCAGACTGACTCTAGAGCTCTAAACTGCCAACTGTAGGGTTTGATCTGCATTTCTTTTGACCTGCCTCAAGCAAAAAGCATTTGCTTTTTGGTGACATTTTTGAGGAACACAAATTCCTCCATAAGATACTGAGCGTTATTGTCTTAGTGACCTCAGCATTTAAAATCAAGTCAGAGGAAAGATGGGACCAAAGACCATTCCAGAGTGGGCTGAAATATACCACAAGTAGCTTTCAGTATGCAGAAAGGTTTTGCGCTTTTGTCTGGGTACTTTGATTCTTTTAGAAAAAAAGAAAAAAAAAAAAAAGAAAAGCAAAACCACAAACCAGGTACCAAACCCTAGATCAAGATATGTTAAAATATTGGCATAAGTCAGGCAGGATTTTTCTGCATAGCTTATTAAAGATGCCAGTTTGACAGGCTGCTTTAGGAAGAGGTTTCTGCTCTTGCTGTTTGGTTTAGCAGATGCTGGGTTGCAGTTCTGTACTCACAGTCTAGGGGATTAAGGAGATAGAAGGATCTCCAGGAGGGAATATAACAATTATCCAGCATAAAGGATGACCCAGGAAACTACAGGCCCGTCAGCCTCACCTCCATCCCTGGAAAGATGATGGAACAGCTTGTTCTGGGTGTCATCTCAAAGCACCTGGAAGAAAAGAAGGTTATCAGAAGTAGTCAACATGGATTTACCAAGGGAAAGTCATGTCTGACTAATCTGATAGCCTTCTGTGATGGTGTGACTGGATGGGTGGATGAGGGGAGGGCAGTGGATGTTGTCTACCTTGACTTTGGCAAGGCTTTCGACACTGTCTCCCACATCATCCTCACAGGCAAGCTTAGGAAGTGTGGGTTAGATGAATGGACAGTGAGGTGGATTGAGAACTGGCTGACAGAGCTCAGAGGGTTGTGGTTAGTGGTGCAGAGTCTAGTTGGAAATGAGTAACGAGTGGTGTCTCTCAGGGGTCAGTACTGGGTCCAGTCCTGTTCAACATATTCATTGATGACCTGGATGAAGGGATAGAGTGTACCATCAGCAAGTTTGCTGATGACACAAAGGCTGTGCTGCCTTACAGCGTGACCTGGACAGGATGGAGAGTTGGGCAGAGAGAAACTTTATGAAATTCAACAAGGGCAAGTGTAGGGTACTGCATCTGGGGAGGAATAATCCCATGCATCAGTACAGGTTGGGGGCTGACCTCCTTTCCCTCTGTGGAAAGGGACCTGGGAGTCCTGGTGGACAACAGGATGACCATGAGCCAGCAGTGTGCACTGGCGGCCAAGAAGGCAAATGGCATCCTGGGGTGCATCAAGAAGAGTATGGCCAGCAGGTCGAGGGAGGTCATCCTCCCCCTCTACTCTGCCCTGGTGAGGCCGCATCTGGAGTACTGCAACCAGTTCTGGGCTCCCCAGTTCAAGAAGGACAAGGACCTGCTGGAGAGGGTCTAGCAAAGGGCTACAAAAATGATTAGGGGATTAGAACATCTCTCTTATAAGGAAAGGCTGAGGGGCTTGGGTCTCTTTAGTCTAGAGAAAAGAAGATTGAGGGGGGATCTTATTAATGCTTACAGATAGTTAAAGGGAGGGTGCAATGGGGATGGGAACAGTCTTTTTTCAGTGGTGCCCAGTGATAGGACAAGAGGTAATGGGCACAAGCTTGAACATAGGAAGTTCCATCTTAACATGAGTAGGAACTTCTTTACTTTGAGGGTAGCAGAGCACTGGAACAGGCTGCCCAGAGAGGTTGTGGAGTCTCCCACTCTGGAGACATTCAAAACCTGCCTGGACGCTGTCCTGTGCAACCTGCTGTGGGTGACCCTGCTCTGGCAGGGGGGTTGGACTAGATGATCTCCAGCGGTCCCTTCCAACCCTGACCATTCTGTGATTCTGTGATTCTGTGATAAACCCAGCTGCATCCAACAGGCATTCCCATTAAGGACTGTCCCCAGTTCAGTTATCCATTTGTCAAATCAACCTGACATCATCTTCTGCTGGGAAAAATAACTGGCCTAGTTCTGCATTCAAGGAATAGGATTAGCTACTACTGAAGATATGGCAGAGAGGAGGGGAGGAAGCAGGTGACAGTGCAATGCAGATCAGTATGATCAGATACAAAGGTTTCCAAACCACACTGCTTTGTACGTTGTAAACTGCTGGGTACAAAGGAAAAAAAAAATAATGGGTAGAAAGTTCCTAAAATAATCACAAGCCAAACTGTAAGCCTTTGAAAACTTTAAATGTCTGGCTGGCACAGCTAGTAGATATGTGAGAGAAACACTAATAAGTAGAGGGAAAATTCTGAGGGGAACCTTAATGTTCTCCATCTGTCATAGGGTAAATAGGTCTTATTGATCCTCTACCACTTGATTTGTACTAATGTTTTCAAGCATTTCACATTTGTTATTTTCAAATACAAGAATAATTAGACCTTGATTTATGGGAATTACATAAACACAGGTAACTTAAGATATTTGTCCAATCTTTAAAAAATGTGTACCAACCAGCAGCACTAAGCTGTACCACAGATATTCCGAAAGTGAACAGAATGTTTTAGCTTTAAATAATAGCTGCTTGAGTTTTGGGGTTTTTTTTGGGGGGGGTCTGAATAATGCAAGAGGAAGAATGAAAAAGCTTCAGTGTTGGTTGTAGTTGTGTTTTTACTGTTCCTAATACTGGGTCACAGAAGATACAAAGGTTTTACAGCCCCACTATAAAACAGCTCTTTATCTTTTCTCCACTAATTCTGTGGTGTCACATTTAACAAAACTAGGAAACTGGAGATAATATGGATGTTTGCAGATTAGATGTCAGGTAATAAATAACACTAATTTCGCATACCTACAAATGTAAAGGCACCTTATCACTGTTTAAGTTTCTCACCCTTTGTAATGCCTGCCAACATTTTAACCCAGGCAAATTAAGGTATTGTTTTTGCTGTTTTTTCACTGGGATAAAATACACAGTCATAATATCCTTTTATCAGATTTCATGGTATAAAAGGACTTTGGTGCTTAATTCAAGCTGTATGTTGCCGAGACAATTTCAGAGCTCCTGTTTTGGAAGATGTATTTATCGTACCTTTTAGTCGTCGTCTTTTCTTTTCATAGTGGTCTAAGTACCAGTTGCCCAAGAAGATGCAGCTGTGACCCTGCCCAGTCAGTGCAATGCTACAGAGCTACAGAGATCCCCAGAGAGATTCCTTTTACCACCAGAAGACTCTACATCAGTCACAGCAAAATTAAACAACTACAGGTAGGAAAAAATCCAATATAAATACTTTCTGTAGTGCACTGTAATCAAAAGCTGGGCTTCCCAGATGGTGGCGGCTTTCAAGTGAAGGGAGAATCTTATTCCATGTTCTAAAACTGATGAAACGCTGCCAGATCTGGGTTTATTTTTACTTACTTTTTAAGGATATGTAAATATATTCCTATAGTGTTTTCATTATTCTACAGTGTTTGAGTGCCAGTTCATGTTGCTGCAATGATATTTGTATGCAACTCAAAAAATAGTAATTTACAACTAGGAGCCAATTTTTGACTTGTTTTTTATATGGTCAAATAACCACTGAATTCCAGAGTCATTTTTTTAATCTTGTTAAAAGCTTTTTCTACTTTTGATACAACATAATACTTTTTCACAGTAAATTGAAAGTTTTTATGTAGCTGGAATAGTTTCCCTAATGAATGAAATTGAAGTTCTTTTTCCCCTCTGGAGTTGCAAGTGTCAGGTACAACTGCTATTAGAAATGGCAGAGGGAGTAAGTTAGTCTAAGGCAGAGCATGAGATGTTTCTAAAAGCAATGCTAGGCCTATCTAATAATCCATATAAACAATAGCAGCTTCTAACTGAAGCTGCCAGCTACTTGTGTTATTAAAAAAGTTTATTCTGGGTTTCTTGAGGCATCACTGGATCACATTATTAAAGGCATGATCAGTTTATGCTCATTTTGCACTACACTCTGGAATGGTGCTTCTGTTTCCTACCCTGAAATATATTTATTTAATAAATTCAACTTCTGTAGATAGACACAAGGGAAATACAACCACCTGTATTATACATGCTTGGTGTGTATCAATTTACTACAAATAATAAGACATGTTCGATTCAAAACAGAATAACCTTAACTGCTCTGACTTACATCTTTGATTTTGCTCTCAGGATTGAATGAAATAGGCTAAGAAGGCAGCTTAGAGCAGCCTCTGGGATACCTGCTGCCCCCTGAGAAATAGTTATTTTACAATTTAACTCTGAGAAAGAGTTTACTTCTCTTTTAGCCGCTACTAATACCTCTGTTTTTCTTGCTTTAGCTCCCATACCTACAAGAGTCAAAGTTCATTGGTGTGATATAGCTATATTGATGGGCTCTAGTTAAACACAAGATCTGTCAAATAAATTCTTTATTGGGAAATACATTTTCTGTGCAAAAAATGTCATTAAAAATGACAAAACAATTAAAATGTTTCCATTAAAATAACACTATCTTAGATCCATTTTCAGGAGATCTACTTTTTTAAATGTAAAACTATATTAGTATGACATTACAGACAGTCTAATCAGAGGGTAAAACATCACTTTGTAGCAAAAAGAGAGCTGACAGGCTTTCAAATATGTCTTGATACATATTAGAAAGACTGGGTGGTTTGTAACAGCATGGATAAATGTTTAAGTCTCAAAACAGCACGTCATAAAGCCTAGCAAAGCATACCAAATAGGTGGAAAATATAAATTATAATAATCCACATTAAGAAGCCTAACATCATAACAGAATGAATGTCTGTATGTTGACCTTCACGTAGCTCTCTGTCACTTAATAAGATGAAAATTAAGCCTCTTAGAGACACACAGCAATCAACTGAGGGAAAGCAGGAAACACTGCTTTTGAACTTAGAGGAGAAAACATGTTGAACTTAGGAAGGCTCACATTTGTTTCAGTTTCCTAAAGACTGTTTAGTCACTTACATATGACTATGCTTTTCTGCTCTTGAGCAATGCAGTTCATTCCTATGGGACTTCTCATGAAAAAGCTTTGCAAGATTAGCCTTCTAATCATCATCAAAACTGGACATGCAATTTTGTAACTGCTATATAGCAATATATATATTACAAAACTGCATTTATAGAAAAAAAATATAAAATGGACAACTTTGTTATTTACTGTTGAGAATATACATTTTTTAATGGAAGTTCCCTCGTTGAACTTAAATGTAATTGATGGAGAAATCTACATCAATAGAGGTTCCATATCTATACTTTCTCACCAACTGCATCATATCTTGCAATGCTTGGAAATGACTTTACAAGATAGAATAAATGTAATCAGAAGGTAGTGACAACTAAGGATACCAAAGCAAAATGAAATCTAACTCCTCTTTCACAACTGTGTGGGCTCTAATTTTTACAGAAGTTAAAATGCAGAGTTTGTAGCTAAGGTAAAGAGATAAAACCCAAAAACATGCAAGAGTTGGATAAACGAAGCTGAAAGGAATCTTTTGACAGTCACCTTTATAAGCTGATTTCACATAGATGAGTATAATAGCCAAATCAGGATCATAGAACAAAATTACTGCCCAGTACCTGCGCTGCAAAAGGACTTGTACTGCCTTCAGTGTAGATTCCTGACTGGGATGAGGGGTTATGCTGTAGAACATGCTCTATAGTTTCTCTCAATGACAGTAAAATGTGCTGGTAGCTACTAAGCCCTGGGGGAAATAGCATGAAGACTATAGTGTTAGTTTAACATCTCTTACTGATGTCGTACTCCTGAGATCTGTAGTGAGATGTTTATTGGACCTGGGAAGGGAAAATGGATGAGGACACTCCTTCCCACCTTTCCCATGCAGAACATCTGTGCATCTTGCTCTGAGCTTTTTGTGATTCCCAGATAAATGATTTTTTAAAAATCAAGCACCTGTGTCAATGGGCAGCATCTCTGATAATTTCAGGAAACTACTGTTTAAGCAACTGGTGTGCTTGGGTAACTCCCGTGTTCACCCTCATTACATGCTTCCTCATATCTCAGCTTGGAGGAAGCTGCCAGATTCACTTAAGTTTGCTTCTTAACTTGAGACACAAGATGGCAAGCTTTGTAAACAAGCCGGTTCCAACAGAGCAGAAAAATAATGAAACAATTAGCATGCCTCTGTATATTATAGTCACAGTCAACATCTAAGTTCCATTTACCACTGCAAAGCATCTATTTATAGCCAACTAACAAAAACTAAGTTCCTGTAAAAGCAATCTGTTCCACAGAGGTGATTTTCAGACCAAGCTAATCTGACACTTTTAGTTTGGTCATCTTAATATGTGAGGTTTTTACTTTAAAGAAGAGGAGAGAGAGTGCGGGGAGAAAAGAAATACAAATGTCGGATATTAGTTTCCTGCCAAAACTTTATAACAGGGAGAGGTGATGATATCCATCTGTACTTCCTCTGGGGAATACACGCTGCAGTGACAATACTGCTGATATATGGAAATGGCTGTATGATGAACTCAAAACTGCTCCAGCAAGCTCCGTTGAGCACAGTGAACATTAGCAACCATCTACTCTCTGCAAAGATTTCTGCCACTGGTGATATTAGTTCTCCATTTTATATAGGCTATGCGCTAGGCAGAAATAAAAGGAATAGCCCTTCTTTAAACATGTGTTTTTTCTCAAAACGCAGACACAATATGGACTTTAACAACAAAATTCTAGAAATGTAAGTAAATACTGGCAAACTGCAGGTACCTATAGAAGCACCTTTATCATTACCATTTCTCTTAGTTTCCATTCTAAATGTGTAGTTTCTTGATATATATTAGCAATTGTCAGAGCATCCAGAAGCAGTAACCAGTGAGGACATCCATAAAGAGATGGTGTACTGTGACATGAATTATTCTGTTCTCTTTAAGATTACTGACTTCAGGAGAATGTCAGCCCTTGAAGAGCTGGTCCTGTCATGCAGTGGCACAGAATCAATAGAAAACAACACTTTCAAAGCTCTGAGCACCTTGAAGTCCCTGGAACTATACAAAAATCAGCTAAAGCAAATACCCACTTTCCTCCCGTCTGGCCTTGAAATCTTAAAACTTGCTGATAACTCCATCAACACTCTGCAAACATCTGATTTTGAAGGTTTGATGAAACTAAGGGTGCTCGATATTCGGAACAACTTGATTGCGACTCTGCCTCCAAGTGCATTTTCTTCCCTCTTCAATTTACAAAGATTGATTCTGGATGGCAACAACATGGAATCTGTGTCTGCACCACTTAAGCTTCCTAGGCTGAAATATCTGAGCATGGCTGATAATAAACTGAACTCGTTCCCAACCAACTTCTTTGCATCTTTCCAAAATCTACAGTTTCTCAGTTTAAGTGGCAACTTTCTGACAAAAGTGCCTCTTGACCTACCTAAATCCCTGCTGTCACTAAAATTAGAGAAAAACCAACTTAAAACAATAAGACTTCGAGACATGAAACACCTAGAAAACCTGTCTGAGTTCTTCCTGTCAGAAAATCAGCTGTCATCAATAGATGGTGCCCAGCTTCTTCCTAACTTAACAACGCTGGAACTCTCCAAGAACCAGCTCCATGCTATGCCACCCAGGCTGCCCAGCAGACTGCAGAAACTCGACTGCAGCAATAACCTGATTCAAAGGGTGACGGCGCAGGACTTCCAAGGACTACAAGACCTCAAGCACTTGTTTCTTGACAACAACGCTGTTAGCATGTTTGAGGCAGGAGCTCTTCAGCAGTGTGCACAGCTTTCGAATCTGGCGCTGGAACAGAATCTCCTAATTTCTATTCCACTGAGGCAAGTGAATCTGAGGACAGCTGGTTCCCAGGTGTCATCTCTCCTTCCTTACATTATGAGAATGAGGGCCAAATTGGAAAAAAAATTATATTCAGACCCAGTCATGGTAGAAGTCTATCCATACCATAAACCCATTGCCATAACTGGCACTAATTAGCACTCTTGTTAGCAGTCTCAGCATAGAAGTAGAGCTGTTTTCATTACATCTGTGGCCCCCAGTGAATCTACTCATTTCACATCTCTCCCTGCCAGTGAGACTACTTTGTTTAATTAGCACACAAATAAAAGGAACCTGCTCGGAGAATATAACAGAATGATTACAGAGAAGTTATACTGCTGCCTGGATTTATCTTCCCCCCTAACACAAAATTAATAGAGCATTCAATAAAAAGGAGAGACAGCGATTTTAAAGCTGATGTTTCTACCAACCCACACCAAGTTTATTAGTGTTAAAATATTAAGATTTCGGGAGCTGAGTATGGTCAAAAAGAATGTGATTTTTTTTAGTGGATATTAGCATTCCCAACTTCATTAAATTCACACGTTACAAAGTAATGCATATAAGCTCTCCAGCTTCAGGCTATAAACAAAATTCCAATGAAAGGAGCACAGAAGAGACATCCCTTGGGCACACTGTGTTCGTTAATGCCCTGCTTACAGGTTCTCTCACATTCATCTGAGTGTTGGTCGTGGCCATTATCAGAAATGCTATGTTAAGCCAAATGGAGGCTGGTCTGATATAAAGTGGCAATTTTATTATTTCAAAAAGCTGTGTAATAAGATGGCATAAAAATAGAGAAGTAATTCGATTAACATCAACGTCTTTAACACAACTGCACTATTTTAAATTTTATTTTTATGGCTTGTGGACAGGTTTAACTAGCCCAAATAAATAATGCAGTAAAATTTCAATTCATTTAGCATCAAGTCCTTTAGCATTTAAATCTATTTGGCATCAGCTTTATAATCGGAAAGTGATTTAGTGGTGTATAAATATTTGATTTCAGTTTAGCTTGACAGGAATGTTTAATGCTTTCTAGTTTCTTTAGTATTGTCTAATCCATCTTATTTTACAACCTTCGTAGTCAAGAGAATTAACAGGAAGGAGTTCTCTATTAGCCTTTAAACAGTACAGCTTTTAAGGAGATATTGGGGACTTTTATTTTCAACTCAACAATGAATACAGATTTCAAGGGGAGGCTGTAAACATGAAAGAGGGGAAAAAATGACAAGATGTAAAATTTATGTACTTAATTTAATTGTCTCATGATCACCAGGTACACATGAATATACCAAAATAAAAGTATTACTTCTGACAGTTATCTGAGAACTCAGTCACCAGCGTCAAAGGTTAAAAAATACAGTTAATGTGCCACAGTTAATGGGTCTTAGTAGTTATTCAGCAGGAATGACAAGAAAGAAAGCTGCTTTTGTTTTTTCTGAGAAGAAGATAATCCACAAGTCCACGTATTTTCAAGACTTGTAGAGAAGAGCCTGTCCTCCATAAAATCTTGCAGGGAGCGGTGAGAATGCAGGGAAGAGTCTGATGATGCTCCCTGGAGGAGCAGCAGCACAGTATGGCTGCCGCACTCAGCTCCCGAGCGAGCGTGGCTTCTCTGCCAGCCGCAGGATCACTCGTCATTACTCCAGTGCCATTATTTTCTCAAGATCAACATAGCCTGAAGTCAAATACTACTGCCGTGAAGCCTAAGTCTAACATTAGTACAATAAGAGTCTTCACAGGTTTAAGGACTTGCTAGTTAGGCTTTAGACTGTAATCAGTCTGGATAAAAATCTAAGGTGATAACCTACTGCCTTTGACACCGATGGCACTAGGGTTTTACCCCAGAGTACCCTTCTGACATTACAGTGTCATATTGGGCAACTATAATCATCGCCTGTGGTTAGGTTTCAAAACAGATTTATTGCAGTCACAAGCATTTGGTAAGATCAGATTTTGTGGAGTGACTCACCATATCAACACGTAAAATTCTCATCTCTCCCAGGAAATACAGCACAGTAGAGAACTGCCCTACTCTTGAAATAGCCCCACTCAAGTTGTGAGATTTACGCAAATACGACAACTACCTTTCAGCCTAAGAGGTCAAACTCAGCTTCACAAAAAGCAGCTGGTGATGGTCACAATGTACCCTCCTAATAATTTTCAAAGGTATCTCGTATCATTACATTGAGATAAACTACCACATCAAACTTTACTAGTTGTGGTATACTGTTGTTCTATTCTAAGTAGCTCTTGGTAGTAGTATTTGTAATTTCCCTGAAAGTTTCAGCAAATAAGTTTCCTTAACATCTCTAACCATGACTCTTAATTTCATCACCTTGCATACTTCTATAGTAAAATGATTTTTAAGGTAATTTCAAATTAATATTGTTAAAAATCCTCCATGCCAATGAACTGGCCTTTCTGTTAAGCAGTTGTCACTAACTACAGCAGGAGGAAATTAGATCATAAATGCGCAAGACTTTTGAAACAGAACAGTCTTATCGTACAAATTTGTAAGATGTATGAAAATAAGTATGATACTGACCCGTCTAGTATTATATCCAGAGATTATCAGCTTTTTTTTTTCTTTTAAATGTAACCAGTTCTAATTCTCTATTTTAAAAGACCATCAAAAAGCACTTCTATTTTCCCTGTTGCAGATTTCTTAAGCAGGATATCATCAAATGGTCTACTTCTGTGATGATTAATGTTTGAATCTGATGGAGAATCAGGAGAACAAAATGGAAGAAAAATTCTAGTTCTTTATGAACTAAAAAAACTTACTAAACAAATCATATATAGAAGTACTTGAAGGAGCAGCATTGCATGCTTTTCTAAACTTTTGCTCTTTCGTGGTGCTATAATTTGGTCGTTGGTGTATTTATGTCATTGAAGAGTACAAAATGCATTTTTAAGCTTGACACTCAATTGAACATATAACTTTATACTGCAGTACAGTGGGACTGCTGTTTAGTTCAGTTGCACAAACACAGTCAGTACAGGTCAGAACAGCAATCATTTGGGAAAGCAGTTCAAGTGTGCATAGACAGTATTCATATAACTTCAAAACAAAAAAAAAAGACATGAACATTTCAGGACCACATCTATTTTGCAGAAGATTGCATTTTTAATTTGTGATAGTTTTATTTTAACAGGTCAGATGTGCCTGGGCAAATACCCATCACCTAATACCACTTGCACAAAGAGAATCAATATGATGAACATAACACCTTTGTGTTGTTTTACTTTTATTCAGACTTCCAGACACCCTTGCCAGATTGGATCTAAAGGGAAATGACATAGAGGACATTGGAGAACAAGAGCTGAAGGACTTGAAACAGCTTCAGGTTTTAAATTTACGGAATAACAAGATATCTGCCTTGGATCGCAAAGTCTTAGAGTATTTACCTCGTCTTCGTCATCTGTATTTAGATGGCAACCCTTGGAACTGCACCTGTGACCTTCTCAGAACGAGAAGAGCATTGGTGGCCAAAAGAACGGATGTCAGGGGAGGACAGTGTGCAGCGCCGGCAGAAAGCCGAGGAGAAAGTTGGATGTCTTCCAAAAAGATTCTGCAGCAGTGTGAAGATAATGTGTCTTCCATGGAAAGTGGCAAAGAGGACAGAATGAACATGAAACCCAATGAAGCCTCCAGTGTTGGAGTAAACGCAGATGATGATTACTATGATTACGAATTAGATTAACCCCACGGTTAATCTGTGGTGAACCTTGAAGTTGTCTAGAGCTGCCCACTACCACCAGCGTCTCTACTGACAACCAGTCTGCTGGTCTGCCATTAACTTTTCCTCTTTAATTTGTACTATAAGAGGTAATAGCTGGTGACAGAAGGGCTATAGTAAGGATGCCATTGTAAACTGAAAATCATAAAAAAATAAATTGTTTTTCTATGCCATTAGTACTACGTAGTTTGAGAGAAGTAAGAATACAATTACTGTCTCTTAGAAAAGCAGTCTGTAGCTCTGTATCAACCTTTTTATAGTAGAACACTCTTATAGTTGCATAAAAACCCCATAAATAAAATCCTGCAATACCGCAAGATACTATTACTAGACGTCTGGCATTCAACACATTTAAACTCACAGGTCTGCAGTTCGAGATGGAGAGTTACACTGATGTGGGCAATTTCTCAGGATTGTTCAGAGATTCTTGCTTTTGAGAAATGAATTTCAGTTTTCCTGAAATATTTGCCTCTTTTATTTATTTTCATAGAATCATAGAATGGTTTAGGTTGGAAGGGACCTTAAAGATACCTAGTTCCAACCCCCCCTGCCATGGGCACTAGACCAGTCTGGCATTGAACACTTCTAGGGATGGGGCATCTGCAACTTCCCTGGGCAATTTTAGACTGTTTTAAATGGCATTAGCCTAAATTAGCTGAGCTCCAGGCAAAACACAAAAGGCTCATCTTCATCACAGCAAATGCAGCAAACAGAAGAACCAGTGTCCCGCTTAATGAGATTTAATACTACTTCCAAAGTTAATTAATAGTGAGGAATGAAAACACTGAAGTCAACTTGACCCAATTCTATTGTTGTAAACAGAAGAAGGGAGATTCTCGGGAAATAGATCTCTACCGCTGGCAAATATTACGATAAGACCAAGTGACACAGAAGTTTTTGGAAGAGTTTATTTTGGTAGCTGAACCAATTATTTTGGTAGCTAATTGACTATAGTATAGCTCACAGTGCTGTGTGTATACTTCTGGGTTAGGAGTACTTCATGTGGGAGTACACACGACAAGCGCCCCCCTTCACTGGCAGGAACTTTCCAGACTTTTGCATGAAAAAAAAAAAAAAAAAAAAAAAAAGACTTAATGGTGTATGCATCAACTCTGATGGATGTACACATTTTATCAGGCAGTTCCCAAAGTGCTTGAAAACTAAACAAAATTGGATTACTGAGACCACTAAAACCAGTGACTTACAAAGAGTAATCTAAGGGGTTTCCTGGCAGTTCATAAATCTCAGCTGATAACTGAGGACTAACAGCAGCAAATTACTTTTCAAAGCAAACAGTTTCTATTATTCTTTATCTTCTGTTGGCATTCAGTAACGGAGTAATCACTCACATTCACAGAGGCTGTTTTGTCAGAGTGCAGCTATTTGGTTATGTCGCCTATGCAAATGCAATTGCCACTTGGGTTCCTTAGGCACCCAACACATTAGGCTATACCACTGGAACAGAAAGACTTAAGTTCTGTTTTCTTTACATTTTAAGATACCATCAGCCACCCAAACTTTTGGTAGCTAAAGATGTAGGTATTTACGGAACAGCACAAGCCTTCCTTGCGCTTTGACTGTGTTATTTGTGCTGGCTAATGGTGGTCTGTATTAGAAGTCCGGGAAGTAGTGATTTTCTGAGCAAGAAAAATATTTTCCTGATACAGAATTTTTCATTCAATTTTATATTGGCAGATTCTTTTAATAGAGTCCTTTAGATATCTCCCTGGGTCGTTTCAGCCCCCCCCTCCCCTCTCCCCGCCCTGACGGCACAGGGCCAACTTGGTAGCTCTGATCTACCTTTTTTGCCTGAAGTGGGATTTCTGCCTTCGGCATCTTCGGGGCCGTTAGGCGCCGAGGCAGCAAAAACCTGGGAACGCCGCGGGTTCGGTGGGAGACCGCAACACGGCAACGGGCGCCCCCGAGGCCTCCCTGTCCCGCCTACCGCGGAGCCGCGCTACCCCCGTTCCCC